ATTACCAAAAGTTACACTGTAAATTCATTTTGATTACACAGTACTTCGCGGGCTGTAATCTGAAGCGTCACCCTTTACAGTTTTGAATGATGTATTGCTTTTATCTTTATGACCATGAATGACAGAGTATCAAAAGTCGATTTTGCTGCTATGTGAAAAAAAATCCACCAAAATGCACCAATGCGTTTGTCGACCCTAGAGGGTTAAAAAGCGTGATGGATTATAGTGTGATAGAAGATCGATTAAATACACAGTAGCTAAACCATTTAGGGCCTTATAGGTTAGTAATACTTTGTAATTGATACAGAACTTAGAGGTATAGAAATGAAACCAGTATAGAAATGATAAAATTGGGGTTATATGATTTTCTAGACCTGGTAAGAACTCTAGCAGCTGTTTTTTGGACTAACTGTAGATTGTTAATTATTGCATTACAACAATCCAGTCTGGAGGTCATGAATGCATGAACTAGCATCCTTTCTTCAACAAGGAATTAATTCTTAACCCAACACAGGAGCCTACCGAAAACTGAATGTCATGGGGAGCATAATTTAAGTTAGGTGGGCAATGCCAAAACTAGATAGTATACCCCTGCTGTACAGTTTGTAGAATTCAGCAAGACGCATTCTGTCGCCTGAAATGTGGAATGTAGAGGACGTAACTCAACATAAAAGGCTCACCATCCTGAGGCTCAACACCCTGTTGTAACCACAACATTAGATTCATGTGAACTACAGCACAACTCCTGTGCTATGAGATTGTTCAATGCTATCTCACGACCAATTCATACGAATTTGTACGAGTGAGTACGAGGTGGCTAATTCGTACGAGTGAGGTTCATACAATTTGTCTAAACCCCAGTGATGGGTAGGTTTAGGGGCGGTGTCAAGGGTAGATCATTCGTACGAATTCATACGAATTGGGCAACTCGTAAAATATGTATGATTTAGCAAATATCGTACGAATCGTACGAGTGAGGTTGTATGAATTCGTACAAATTAGCCACCTCGTAAATTACATACGAATTGCCGTGAGATCAGGTTGGATTGTCGTTGCACGGAGCATGAGTGAGAAAACTGTTGTTAAAAAAAGCACAGATAATCTATTGTTGTCCGAAACTCTATATAAGGGGCTATATAAGGGGCCCTACATGCACCATGGAGGTACACTTTGTCATAATCATGACATTATGGTTGTGTTTACTAAAGTAAACCAAAGTTTTGTGACTTAAAACTCACAATTAAGCTACTGATTGCATGAGGTGAATGTTTGGTAGCCCAAAGTTCCAAATCAGTTGCAGCATTAGTAGACATCAAAGTAACCATCTTCCTGAAGAAGAGAAATCTGAGGAATTATGGTCTAAGCACATCTTTATATGTCATCGGTGATGCGATGCCTTAGAGGGTGGAGTTAGCGCCATCAGCCAAAGAATTCTATACATACAGGCTTCAGACAATCATCAAACCTTCTCAAAAGCAGCTAAATTTCTATCGCTACTCTCTAATTTTTATTGAATTACCTTACGCCACAGATTGATCAAACAGGCTATTATTATATTATTATATCAGCACACCCTGTCTGAGCAGAGAATCGGATACTGTTTAGGCTTACACTGCTTTAAAGGTTTGTGGTCAGCAAGATTTTTTTTAATTAATACTTTTATTCAGCATGGCTGCATTAAATTGATCAAAATTGGGAGTAAAGACTTATCTGATGTTACAAAAGATTTCTAATTCAAAGAAATGGTGTTCTTTTAAACTTTCTATGCATCAAAGCATCCTGAAAAAAAAATGCATCACTGACTCCACAAATATATTAAGCATTAAAATTGTTTTAAACATTAATAATAAGAAATGATTCTTGAACACCAGATCAGCATTTTATAATGATTTCTAAAAGATCAAGTGACATTGAAGATTGGAGTAATGGCTGCTGAAAATTCAGCTTTGCCATCACACGTATAAATGATGTGGCAGGATGAGCAAGACAGACACAGTCTTTGTGGCATCAGGCCTCAGGGATGGGTTTATTTAACATAAAAATAAAAAAGTCCAAAAAGGCTAATAGTGTTCAAAAACAAACAGGTGATCCAGTGCCCTTGCTGTGCCGGGAAGTAGTGAAGGAAGGCAGTGATCTGCAAGGTTCGATCCAGGTAAAGGGAATCAAGCTCCCGGCGGATGCTTGTGCTCCCCACTTCAGTCAGGGGCACGAAGGGCAGAGGCTAACTTAGAGTGGCTCATCTACCCATCAAGCGTGGCCCAGCCATTTCAGCCAGATGGCGGCATTGTGTGCTTCCCAGCCAGGAATACGAGTCCGCCAACTCGTGGCTTGGTGATGTGGGATTTCCGTCTACACTCACCTCCTGGACCTATTGGGACACCAGCGTGATTGGACTGGTTGGTCGATGAGAACTGCACTCACCCTTTAACAGCGGTGGTGACAAGGCACTACAGACACTGATACCAGGTGGAGGCGGCTGTTCTGTCACGAATATATATTGATTTTAATTATTTTAAATTGTAATACAATTTCCTTAAAATACTGTTTTTGATTTGCCTTTGTATAAAAGACTTCTTTCAAAAATGATAAAAAACCTTACTGACCCCAAACTTTCTAACAGTAGTGTAGCTTCTCACCTCTTAATTATTTGTAATCAAGAGCAATTCTACTTTGTAGCAGAAGACCTCAAGCGCTGAGGTATAATTCTGGCCAAACAAAAAGTTTCCTTAACTTTTTAACCTGTTGCATCATATCATCCTGTTTTCCCAACTTTGTTTTCATAAACAAATGCATCGACCTGCCTTTTCATTGATCAAATCACATGTTTTCCAATTGTTTACAAACTTAGAATTTTCATTCTGTTGTTTGCTCATTCTCATCAAGTGTTGCTAGTTTGTTGCAACAAAGCCAATAAAACAATGGAGAAAGCATTTTGCTGATTTTTAAAACTTTAGGCTCTAATTTACAGCTCTTCATAGAGTAGCAGAAAATAATTTGGAAGATGTTATTCCAATATAAGTTTCATCTCTTGTTTCGAAGGCAAACAAGGAGATCTTTAAAATCCATAACAAGGGTTTTCATTCCTCATCTGCACTGCCGCTATCATGTCCCTGCCATGTGGTTGTGTCTAATTCTCAATCTTAATCACACTTTTTCGTTGTCCGTTGTGACTGGGTATTCCGACCCATTCTATAAATGTGTTAATATGGTGTGCGTCTGTTTTTCCCTCAGCATATCTAAAAAGGCAAGAAGAATTGACTTACCACAATGGCGGAAGGAAGAGAAGATGATCAAACCTCTTGTTGATTTTAAAATCCCAATACTTTGCTGGAAAGACATTGCTCGCCTGTGTTGTGAGATCACGTAGGCTGGTCACTTTGTAAGCCCGTCTAAATCGGCCCAATGGAGTTTTCCGATAGAACGGGTGGCAAAGTAATTTAATTCCATTTAAGCTTTTATCTGACTCCATTTTATCACGACCTCGAATTATGGTTAGATTGCCCAATTGGTTATTGGTCAATTATATAATAGTTTAGCAATACATTTGATTATTCTATTTAAGTCTTTACTTTATATTTTACTCATTCATGAGGAAGCTATGTCGCTCAGAGAGTCTCGCGCCGGCCGTTTACGCGGATCTTACGGTCACAAACTCGCCAGTCTGATAGATAACCAGAGGTTATGACTAAAGCGATTTAACAATGCCGCACACACGCTTTTTATCGTTAAAAAGTACCCATGTAGCCCCCTATTATAGTCGCCCATACAACAACTTAGTTAAATCCCAAGCAATAACCAGAGGTTATGACTAGTACATTAAGATAATGCTGCTTCAACACTTGCTATTACCGTAATAGCATTTTTTATCTAGCCCCCTATTTGCGACTGCATAACAACTTAGTTCAAATCAAGCAGTTAGTCAGGAATCTAGAATCCCACCAGATGTGCCTCACGCTCCATCTACTCTGGGATCTTGTATGTACTTAACCCTGGACGCAGATTTGCGGAAACATAAGACTTCACTTAATCTACTTGAGAAAATAATTTCAGAGTAATTCAGAATAAAATCAAATGTAACAATTTATTATGTCAGGTAAATTGATCATGCCAATTTCATAATCAATTCAAAGATAATAAATACAAAACATCAAATTCTCTGGAATAAAGAGAGAAGATGCGAACCTGACATTATAAAATACATGATGCGGAGTGCTCGCATCACAGGCTAATTTGAGTTACAAATCGCCCTGAGCCTCTTGTTGCATTTCTTTATATAGACAGAAACTTCTTTCACATGGAAACATTTGCTAACAATGGGAATTTGCATTCAGAGTTTACACCTTTTGGGAGCAGAATGCAATTTGCCTGGAAGACACACCCTCCTCTGTGTGCAAGTTATCTCTAAACTCTTAAGAACTTTATTACCTTTTGGTTTACTTCTTTGGGAATGAGACATTTGTACCAGTCGCACTGAGACATTTCAAATGATACCAAACATGTATAATAATGTATGATAATTATTCACATTAAACCATATAGATTTTTGGGTGAATATCTGGTGATCTCAGCGTGAGAGAGAGACGACATGGAGGAGGTGATTGAGTCAGGGATGCTAGTTTCTCAAGAGAGAGTCAAATGTTAATTTTCAGGAAGGTCCTTTGTCTTCTGGGGAGTGGTCGTTCCTCAACCAGACTGCCCGGCATTTTCTAATTTCTCAATTCTTACAGATCAGATGACCAGATGTTAGGTACACATCGGATTTACAATTTTCGAAATGTGCTCCAATCAAGTGGCAAAAAAATCTTATCTCAAGATTCGATCTGTGCCAGATGGCAGTGAAAAAAATCGGAATTGTTTGAATGCGTGAATGCAGCAATAGTGACAAACAACATTTAGCTCATAAGTCGAAATATATATTTTTTCATAATAATTAATAAAGGTAATATCTTGCCGATGTAGATCTTAAGGATGACAAATAACTGTAGGCTTATTCTCCACAG